CACAGCAATATCCCACTCTCTGGTACCAATTTCTGTTCTGGTTTGTTCTCTTCATTGCTGTGACAAAATACTCTGACCAATACCAACTTGGGGAGGAAAGGATTCATTCAGCATTTATCTTCCAGATTGCAGTTTATCAGGGAGCCCAAGGCAGGAACCTGGACAGGCCATGGAGGAACGCTGCTTATTGGCTTGCTCCCCTGGCACATGCTCAGCTTGCTTTCTTATGCAACACAGGCCCACCTGCCCAGGGATGGCACCACCTACAATGGGCTGGGCCCTCCCACATCACTCAACAATCAAGAAAATACCGCACAGACATGGCCACAGCCCAGTCCAATGGAGGCAGTTCCCCAACTGAGGCTCCCTCAACCCAGGTGTGTCAAGGTGACACTAAAGCTATCAAGCACAGTACTTTTTTTTTTTTTTTTTTCCTGAGACGGTCTCCCTGTAGCCCCAGCTGGCCTGGAACTTGCTATGCAGACCAGGCTGGCCTCAAACTCAGAGATCCACCTGCCTCTGCCTCCCCAGTGCTAGGATTAAAGGCATGCACCACCACGCCCAGCACAATAGTACTTTTTAAAAATTTTAAAAATTACACTCTTTGAATACTCCCACCCCGACCCCCACCCCCTTGGCAACCTTGGGATTCTGCCAGGAAGACCATTACTAGCCTGGCCCCTTGACCTTGTACCTCCAGAAACATTTTACTCCTCCCGGAACCTCTTCATGTAACCGTTTTATATATATGCTGTTCATTTTCAGTTAATCTCCTCCACCAATTACGATCCACACAAGTCACTGATGATCGTGGTCCTTTGGAACTGTATGTCGTGTTTGTGTGTAAACGTGCCCATGTTTGAGACAGTCTCAGTATGTAGCTCAGATCCTTCTGCCTCAGCTTCACAAACCTTACATTTATGGAGTTTGTGTCACACCTGGTTCTGAATCGATTCTTGATGTTCTTTTTATGTCCTGCTTTTTGAGACAGGGTCTCCCTGTAGCTCCAGTTAGCTGGAACTCACTGTGTAGACCAGGCCAGCCTTGAGCTCACAGAGATCCACCTGCCTCTGGGATCAAAGGAGTGAGCCACCACACCTAGATTCTTAATATTCTTAACCATTATATGGTTTGGCATATGACATTTGAAGTAGAGAATGTCACAGCTTTTAATAGTCAAATGCATCCCACTGGCACGTGAACCATTCAAGGTACAGTTCTACCGTCCATTGTCCATACAGTCTATATTCTGCGCCACATCTGGAATCTTCAACTGCTATGGAAACTCCACGCTGTTTGGTGTCCCTGATGCTATGCAGATTTCGTGAAGTTGCTTGTCCATCCAGGTCATCTGCTTGTAAGATTTTGCTTTCTAGTATCATTGCTTTCTGGGGAGTAATAAGCACAGCACTCGTCTCCTTATACATAGTCTAAGTCGGTACATTCAGTTGTCTACAACCAAGTGATTTCTGCAGTGAAAGGTAAGTGTACTGAACCATTTGTTTCACATTATTATTATTATTATTATTATTATTATTATTATTATTATTTTGGTCTTTTTGAGACAGGGTCTCTCCGTAGCCCCAGCTGTCCTGGAACTCACTATGTAGACCAGGCTGGCCTTGAACTCACAGAGATCCGCCTGCCTCTGCCTTCCAGCTAGATTTTATTTTTAATTATGTGTATGCATGCATGTCTATGTGTAGTATGTGTATGTGAATGCAAGTGCCTGCAGAGGCCAAAAAAGGGCGTCAGATCCCTTACAGCTGGAGTTACAAGCAGTTGCAAGCCACCTGACATGGGGGCTAGGAACCGAACTTGGGTCCTCTGCAAGAGCAGTAGCTGCTTTTAACCACTGAACCATCTTCCCCAGCCTCATACTATTTTCTTTTAAAATTAAAGACAGTTACTCTCCTTTTGTTAGGGATAGGACTTAGATGTAACTAATGTTGTATTTACATCTAAGGACAACAAGAACATGACAGTGGGAAAAAAAAGAGCAACTGGGGCTGAAGAGATGGCTCAGCAGTTAAGAACACTGGCTGTTCTTGCAGAAGACTGGGGTTCGAATCCCAGCACCCACACGGCAGCTGGCAGCTGTCCTTAACTCCAGTTCCAGGGGATCCAACAGCCTCTTCCATCTTCCTCGGCCACTGCATGGCACAGGTGCACTTACCTGCATACAGGCAATACAACTCATACACATAAAATAAATATAATAAAATATTTTTAAAAAACAACTGCTCGATTTGCACTGAGCTGATATCTCATCATTCCTTTGATATGTGATAAAATTGTGCTTATACTTATTTGCAGTTATTAAAATGTATTCCAGCCGGGCGTGGTGGCGCATGCCTTTAATCCCAGCACTCGGGAGGCAGAGGCAGGCGGATCTCTGTGAGTTTGAGGCCAGCCTGGTCTACATAGTGAGTTCCAGGCCAGCTGGGGCTACTGGGAGACCCTGTCTCAAAAAGATAAAAAAAAAAAAAATGCATTCCATTAGTTACATTAGCCTAAACCTGCATTTGCCTCTACAAACCACATAATGGAGGGAAGCTACATTACAGGAAAAAAAACACTGAAATGAAAATGAACAGGATTTTTCAGCACTGACAGGATAATTTGTGTAATATGTTTACTATATTACTATATTTGGTCAATCGGTTTTGACAGATTGAGTTCTGTAACATTTAAAGTCATCACAATGTTGAAAAAATTCTCTAAATAAAATTGAAAAATAATTTCTTAAACTCCAAAACGAAATCTGTATGCCAAAAGATGGAGGACCAACAATATTGGGACCACAGCCCTGGTTCTGTCTGGGGCCTCCAGATGGCTGCCACGAATCCCGGTGGCTGGGTGTGGATACATTTGAGCCAAACACCAACAGCCACCAGATTGCAAGTGTCATCCTGCTATGGCTGTGAGGAGTTCCCATACCTAAGCGCTCCACTAATGATCTGATGATAAACTCAGGGATCCCTTCAGATCTCCATGCATCACAGCTCCCAAGGTCCACAACACTGAATTAGCAGCATAGACAAATGTCCCTTTTTTACTCTCCAGAAGGAGGGAGAATGGGAACAGGGAGACAGCTGATTGCAGTTGGGTGTTCTGTTTTTTTCTTTTCTTTTTTGAGACAAGTTCTCCCTGTAGTCCCAGCTAGCCGGGAACTCCCTATATAGACCAGGTTGGACTTTATCTCACAGAGATCCACCAGCCTCTGCCTCCCGAGTGCTAGGATTAAAGGTATCAATCCACCACGCCTGGCTTTTGTTTTGTTTATTATTTTTATTTTATGTGTATGAGTATATTGCCTGCATGTATGTGAGTGCACCTGTGTTGTGCAATGCCATGGAGGTCAGAAGAGGGCTTTGGATTGCCCTGGAACTGGAGTTAGGATGGTTCATAGCCGCCATGTGGGTGCTGGGAATCAAACCTGGGTCCTCTGCAAGAGCAGTCAGCGCTCTTAACCGCTGAGCCATCTCTCCAGCCCCTGGCTTTTGTATTTTTAAAATGACACAGATAGGAAACTTATGGCAACATAATATAAAGTGAGACTACTGTACAGCAAGTGTGAACGCAACCACAGACATACAAAGTGTGTACGTACCCTTTGCAAAGAGGAAACGGGGAAATGGCATGCAAACACAGAGCTCAAAATTAGTTAATTCTTCCTTAAGGGATGATTTTATTCTTTATTTTTCAGATATTCAGATTTGATAATCAAGAGAAAAAATGTATTCTTAAAATCTTGCTATAGACAGGTCTGGTGGCAAAGGCCTGCAATACAAGCTACCCAGGAAGCTCACTGAGGCAGGAGTATTCCAATTTCAAGGATCCAGAATGAGTTCTAGGTCAGCCTGGGCAACTTAGTGAGACCCTGTCTCAAAATGAAAAGTAAATAGAGGACTGGAGATCTAGCTCAATGGTTAGAATGTGTGAAGTGCTAGGTTCAACTCCCAGTTCCAAAAGAAAAAAAAGAGAACTAAAAAGAAAGAAGAAATCCAGCTCTGGGCCAATCCTGGAAGCAGAAACTGTCCTCTTCCAGCTCACTTTCCAGGTCTACTTTCTTTCCCAGGAAAATAGTCATGGACCGAACAGAGCACATGCCAATATTCATCCAAACACTGGGCGCAGCAGGTAGCTTACAAATGATGATTACAGAAAAGTAGTTACTCTCGCTTTTGTATGGAGCGCTTGGGAACTCTCACAGAAACCAAGCACCCCACCCCCCACCCCCCCACCCCGAGGACGGGGAGGACCAAGCGGGCAGGCTCTTTCAGGAGAACCTGAGAAGCCACTAGTCAAAGAGGGTTTCTCGCCGCCTTTCCATCGGCTCAGAACCCCACACAGCCTCAGGTCCCGCGCACCCCAAGAAAGGCTCAGAACACCAGGTCACCACGCTACACGGAACAGCAGCACACGACATACGACACGGGTTCACCGACCCAAGACGTGCACTGCACGCCCACCACCGAACACAGCTGTACACTGGTGCCACACACTCATGGGGCAATGTCGTAAGTGTGCCCTTCAGACCCCGGGTCCCACCTCTCGGATCCACACTCGTGTCCCTCGGAGCCCGGCACTGCTCGGAACCTTGGACACCGCGTCCTCAGACCTGGAGCCCGCGCTCCTCCCTCGGTGCGAATCACAGAAGCCTGCTCCCCGCAGAAGCCCGCATCTTTGGCCCCTCCCCCACGGCTGCGCACCCCCAGATCCTTGCACACCCCAGCCCAGTGCACCTCCTGACACCTGCTCCCCACAGAACATGCACTAGGAATCCCACTCCAGAACACCCGGCCGCTAACCCTCAGGGACTCTTCCCACCCTTCACTCCCTTATCGTTCATCCCTGTCCCAAGCACCGCTTGGACCTGGTGAACCCCTTGGACCCCGCAAGCCCGGACCCACACGACCCACGTCCCCCACCTCCGTTCTCCCCGTAGCCTCCCACCCCCTCCCGCGCTCCCCTGGCCCGCCCCCGCCCGCCCGCACCTGGCGCAGCTGGGCCTCAGTGGCGCCCCCCTCCTGCCGCCGCAGCTGCTCCCGGAAGCGCGCCACCTGGTCCAGGAGCGCGTCCACGAGCGACGGCGCCGCGTCCCCTTCCAGGGCGGCCAGGCGGGCGCGAAGCCGCGCGATGAGGGCGTCGCGGGCGGCCAGCTGGTCTTGCAGGCGCCGCAGTCGCTGGCCCGCCTCGTGGTACAGGCCGCAGAGCGCGGCGGCCGCGCGCGGAGGCCCGTCCGGTCCTCCAGGTCCTGCGTCCGCAGACGACATGGCGGGGACAGCCTGGAGGCAACTTCCGCGGGCAGCCCCGGGGACCTCCCGCCTTCCCGGAACTTGCCCCGCCCCTCCCCGCCCCCTCCAGGAGCTGGTCCCGCCCATTGTCGGCTTCCCTGCCTGGATCCTGGCCCCGCCCCGCCCACTGCCCGGCGTCGGGTTCCGCCCCTTCCGCAGACGGCCCTGCCCACAACTGGCCCCGCAGCCGGGAGTCTGGCCCCGCCCTTCCACAGATGGCTCCGCCCACCCACTCTTGGCCCCGCCCCGCCTTCCGATGGCCCTGCCCACAGCTTGCCCTGCCCTTACCCTGCAGTTCCTGCCCTGGACCGGCCACAGCTCCTCCGTAGAGCTGTCCGCCCGTACTGCGACACGTCACCCGGCTCCAGTCCTCTGCGTCCGAGAATTGGGGAGTCACACCCGGTCCAAGACGATAGGTTGGGGTTCGGCATCTTCCGAAGAGCTGATGAGGGGAAGCAACGAAATCCAGGCACTTCCAGAGGTTGGCCTGGGGTGCGGGTTCCTCTCCCATCAGCCGCTGCCCCAGCGCGGGGAGGTCCTCTTCCCATCCAGCATGGCGAGGCCCAGAGCCTGCCACCAGCCCCGCCCGAAGTTTGCGTGGAAGAGCCTCAGCTAGAAGCTGGTCTTGGAGCTGGAGCCTTGGCTCAGCGGTTAAAAGCATCGGCTGCTCTTGCAGAGGACCCGGGTTCGATTCCCAGCACCCACATGGCGGCTACGAACTGTCCTTAACTCGTTCCAGGGGACTCCGAAACCCTTCTTCTGACCTCCGCGGCATTCACTCATACACATGGAATAAAAATAAGCATTAAAAAGAAAAGAAGCCGGCCGTGGTGGAGCATGCCTTTAGTCCCAGCACTAAAGGCAGAGGCAGGCGGACCTCTGTGAGTTCAAGGCCAGCCTGGTCTATATAGTGAGTTCCAGGACAGCTACAGGGAGACCCTGTCTCAAAAAGACCAAAAAAAAAAGAAAGAAAGAAAAGAAAAAGTCTGTGTGGGGAACAAAAGCCTCCCCGGGGGCCAGCAAGGTTGGTCACTGACCTGACCTATGCCAACACATCCCAACATTCATGTGGACGTGCACACCACAACACACACACACACACACACACACACACAAAACCTACTCCAAGTTCCCACTCTCAGAAAATAAGGCCTGCAACTGGACCTCAGGCTTCTTCATAGGTGGGAGGTCCTTCCAGATGAGTGTCCACAAGGGGGCTCACAAGAGAATTTCAGGCACCGACCTCACCTAGGCCTGAACAACACAGGAGTGAGCCTGGGTGCCTGGGGTTGTGGGGTGGGGGGGTCTCTTTCCTGAGGCCTAGGTGCCCAAGTGCCCTGTCATTGAGTAGTAGGTGCCTGTGCGCCCCATGCCTGGTTGTTTCTGGGTGAAATTGCTGCTGCCCGGATCGCCCCATCTAGTTACTAGTCTGACTTCTCTCAAAAGTGGCTTCCTTAGAGGAAGAGCTTAACTTCAGTCCTATGGGTGGGAAGTGTGGCTCCTAGGAGCTCCTGAGGAGCTTAGGAGGCAGATGGTGTGAGGAAGTGTGGAGCACATTCATTGAGTCAGAAGGGCTCCTCACCCACTCAGACAGTACCCACAGCTCAGCACACGCTGCTAATGGTTTGTATTCTGAGTTAACCTTCAATCTAGATGTCACCTGAACGGGAGGAATGCAAGTGTCAGTGGCCGTGGTGTATGTGAATCCTCCTCCACCACAGAGAGATGATGACTAAGAGAAACAGTCTTGGAGACAAGGACAACCACCTGGCCAGAGGGACAAGACTTAACTTTATAGCTGGGCATGGTGGCGCACGCCTTTAATACCAGCACTCGGGAGGCAGAGGCAGGCGGATCTCTGAGTTCAAGGCCAGCCTGCTCTACATAGTGAGTTCCAGGACAGCTGGGGCTACAGGGAGACCCTGTCTCAAAAAGACCAAAAAAAATTTTTCTTATTTCTTTTTAATGTTATGGGTATGAGTGCATTGCCTGCATGTATCTAAGTGCACCTGTGTCGTACAATGCCCGCAGAGACCAAGAAGAAGGTTTTGGATCCTCTGGAACTGGAGTTACAGGAGGTAACCGTGTGGGTGCTGGGAACCAAACCCAGGTCTTTGCAAGAGCAGCCAGTGCTCTTAACGGCTGAGCCATCTCTCCAACACCACCACACCCCCTTTCTTTCTTTGTATTGTTCTTTGAGACAGGGTTTCCCTGTAGCCCCAGCTGGCCTAGAACTTGCTATGTAGACCAAACTGGCCTCAGTCTCATAGAGATCTGCCTGCCTCTGCCTCCCAAGTGCAGGTATGAGCTATCACACCTGCCTCCCCACCCCTTTTTTAAAACAGTATCATGCTATGTAACCCAGGCTAACCTCAAACTCCTGATCTTCTTGCCTCAGTTTTGCTTGTAGGGGAATTACAGGCATGGACCACCATACCCCACCTGAATCCTCCCAGCTCAGCAGTGCCTGCATTGAAGGACAGAGGAGCCTATAAAGAATTTCAATATGGGGTGTGACCAGCTGAACTCTGTCTTGCTGACTGAGCAGTTATGGAGAGCTTATTCCTTCTCTGGCAAGCCTTGAGGGGCACAGTGCTGGGGCAGGCACAGCATCACAAAGCAGGAGGTCTGAGCAGGGATTTAAGCAAGGGCAAGCAGTGAGATATGCAGCTTTCTAGGGCAGCAGTGCTCTAAGCAGAGGGACAGCCTGTGGAGAGGCCTGGAAGCAGGGATGTGTCTGTCAGGGCAGAGCTCAGCAAGGGGGCCACGTTGCCAGAGCAGAGCAGATGAGGGGCGAGGGGGTGGGCAGCATAGAAGAAGTCAGGCTAGGGTCTTCTAGACAGACCACTGTTTTTCCTGGAGTGAAATGAGGCCTCTAGGGTTGTGGAGGAGGGGAACCAGGAATGGTGAATGGCAGTTGGTTGGCCCAGAACATCAGGGGGAGGGGGAGATACCGTATCCACTAGACTCTGGGGAAATGCCGAAAGTGAAACAAGGTATCCTGCAGACAGTGCTGTCAGACACAGTCAAGTCTTAATCCTCACGACTTGTAAATATGTTGCCTTACCTGCAGAGGGGAATTAAAAGGCACTGATCAGTTAACCCTGAAATAGGGAAAATAGTCTGGGTTAGCAGGTGTTCCCAATGTCATCAGAAGTGTTGTAAAGTGAAGGAGGCGGTCGGGGGTAGAGGTCAGAGCTAAGCTGATGCTGAGTGAGAAGGGCCTGCCCTGCTTTTGCAGGTTCTGAGGGTGGAGGGAGGTCCCAGGCCGAGGAAGGCCACCAACTTTTAGAAGCTGGAAAAAGCGAGGGTCAGAGCCTTCCCTGGGGCCTCAGAAAGGATGCCTCTCCGCCAATACCTTTGGCTGATGAGACACCTGTCAGACTTCTGACCTCTAGAACTACATGGAAATAAATTTGCCTGCCTTAAGCCACTAAGTTGGAAGGAATTTGTTAGAACAAAGGAAACTCAGACTAAGGAGAGGGGCGTGGGAAAGACAAAGAGGGACTAAATTCCTTGACTTTAGTATCAAGAAGGGCAGAGTTGCCTTCATCTGAGACAGGGATGCTAGGGTGAGACAGAGTGTTTAAAAGCACTCGGCACATACCAGGCTCCACCCTATCCATTTTGCCATCCCAGTGCCTGGCATAGACGGTACAGCACACGAGCTGGTGTTTGTGGAATAAATGAATGCTCACAACCATGCATGAACAGGTGCTTAGGTGCTCATAAATACGTGTGGCATGATGTGTGAGTACATGTCTGGCTGAGGATAGGTTGTGACCCCCCAATGTCAGGGGCTACTGGGTAGGCAGGAGGGGACTGACATAGTGCCACCCTTGCCAGTCTGGGGCAGTGGCTTTGGGGCAGCAGCCCAGTGAAGGTAAGGTTTGCCCCACCTGAAGCCAACACCCCTGTTCTGGATAGCTTTAGTGTCAACTTGACATACCTGGGTTGAGGGAGCTTCAATTGGGGAATTTCCTCTATTGGACTGGCCTGTGTCCATGTCTGAGGGGCATCTTCTTGAGGAGTGATGTGGGAGGGCCCAGCCCACTGTGGGTGGTGCCACCCCTGGGCGGGTGGGCCTGTGTTGCATAAGAAAGCAGGCTGAGCAGGGGCCAGGGGAGCAAGCCAGTAAGCAGTGTTCCTCCATGGTGGGCGGGTGGGCCTGTGTTGCATAAGAAAGCAGGCTGAGCAGGGGCCAGGGGAGCAAGCCAATAAGCAGTGTTCCTCCATGGCCTGTGTTCCAGCTCCTACCTCCAGGTTCCTGCCCTGAGTTTCTTCCTTGGGCTCCCTGATGAACTGTGACCAGAAGATGTAAGCTAAATAAACCCTTTCCTCCCCAAGTTGGTAGTGGTCAGAGTGTTTTGTCACAGCAATGGAGAACAAACTAGGACCCCGTCCCCACCCCAGCCTGCCAACCCCTCACTGCCCAGCACATACGACACCCTCCGGAGCTACTCCAGACACCATTGTTCTTGTTCCATAGACCAGTTATAGTTAGATTTGGGGCATCTTGCCAAAGACTTCAGCCTCAGAGAGAAGATTCTAGAGAGTTCTGAGCATTCCTATGGGAACAGAGAAGCCTCAGGACTTGAATTCAAAGACAACGTAGGACTCTCTGCCTCCATTTCCAACTGTAACAATGGGCCTCCTAAGGGGATTGGCAGAGCACAGCTCTCCCAGCCAGTGTCCCAAGAAGAGAGAAACTGAGGACCCCAGGGTTGCCTTCGACAAACTCCAGCGGTGTGGATGGGATGTGGAAATTAGCTGGTGGGGCAAGGAAGCAGTGTCCCCGCAGAGGGTGAGCCTGGGCCAGGCCCTTGGGCTCCAGGCAGCCTCACCAAACTTGGCCTTACTTGGTGCAGCTGGTGGCTGGAGAGCTGTATACAGCCTGCTATTAGTCATCAAACACACTGTGTCCTACACCCAGGATGTACCAGGCATATAGGAGTGGTTTCTGCTATAGGGCACTTCATCTGCATCGGATTGATGTCCCATAAACTGGAGGTGACAGTGCTGTGAGAGGGATATCCAAG